AGCGGCAATTCTTAACGCCAGGAATGCCTCTGAGGCTGGTGACCGGTCCAGTGCTACCACGACTGCTGGCACGATGGCCGGTGCTGCTGGAGCAGAAATTGTTGACTATCGGACGAAACAAGCCTCGACTTGATTCGCTCGTGCACGTAACCTTCGTAAAAGAGGAAAGAGGCACCTGATTCTTCCCAGCAAAGGGTTGTGAAGATTTGGTTTTGGGCCTCAAAAGCCCCAGAGACGGCCTATAGTTTTCGAAAGGAAACGATGCAACATGTGACCTACATGACAAAGAGACATCACTTGCCCTGACGTCCGTTTCCACGCCAGAATTGAATAGGTCGCCATCGCTTTGTGCACCACTGATGTCGTCAGGGCTGCAGCACTCGACCTCCTTGGGTAGGTCTCCAGTCCAGGAAAGGCAGTTGTATAAATAGGCGCTTTGCTCTCGAACGGTCGTATTAGAGGCTCCAGAAACGGGACGCATATTGTGGATTTTCGTTCCACAGTCTGGGCTCCGATACGATGGAGTAAGAAGAGTAGATTCACAAAGCGTATAAGCTGGGCTAAATCCGAAATCACTCAGAGCAGCATCTGTGGAATCTAACGAGTTAAGGAAGCAACATAAGCACAGATATTTTTATGCATAGTCATTTTAATGTGTTTAACTGAACAAAGTCATTCTATTTGAAAGGTACCAATTTTAAAGTTTTACTGAGTTATCGTACTGCCGGCCAGAATTTTTTTATGTTAACAAAAGACCGAATAATGAATCGTGTCAATGTTTGACGCGGTTGACATTTATTGTGAAATTGTAGATGAATAAAACTTTTGTTTATCATTAAAATGGACTAAATTACTTATATCCAATGGCAAAGCACAAATTTGTATTTAAACTAGGTTTTCAAAGCTAACAGTAAATCAAGTATATGCGATTCATTCTCCCTATTTTTTTGAATGACTGGTAATTTGAATTTTCCCATAATGCTATGAGCAGAATTCATGTCGCCATTGAATTTCACACGGTATTGTGTGCCAAAAGATGTTCTCATCCAGGCCAAAGTGGACTACAGTTTCTACCTCATCTGAATGGGTCTCATCAGCATCCCCAGGGGTACGCGATCCCTGAATGTGTAAAAGAGAATTTCGTAACCTTAACCATTACTCCACAATGCCACGATTTCTCTTGAGTGACAGGGCAAATGTGAATTTCAATGAGTCTCATATCACATTCTGTGGTGGGTTTATCAATAAAGCAATGTTATAGTAACTATAGTAAATGACTAAATCACTTATTTTTCGTTTATTAGTAGGTTTTTGAGAATACCGTGATGAGAACGTAAAAACTACTCACATCAATGAGGAAAGATTCACATATCAGTCCTTCATCACCTAAAAATAAAAAGGGTGAACTCATCTAACACATGTGATTTACCGCTAATCGTGAAGGCCTACTTATACATGAAAGATCTAGGCCAATGCCTTTTAGCGGGTATAAAGTGATTTATTTTATATGCCCATCTAGAGGCATTTATGCACAATTTCGCGTGTTTGTGCATGTGTTTATGTGCGTTCATGTGTAGCTAAAAATATAGAACCAGTAGTAACGGCTCCAAGTCATTAGTACAGAATATATCATCTATCTCTAGGATTATTGTGTATTTTCGGCATAACTCAAAATGCTGAACTGATATTTGGTTAGAGTGATGGGTTTTCTTAGCAAGAAATCAGAATTATAGAAAGGGTGACTGTCATGATAAGTATAAATACCATACATTTGGTTAGGCGCTGCTTCTTTATAGACAGCTCAACACCCCTTCTATGCTCAAGTCTTTCATTCAACTAGATGTCATTTTTTCTTTTCTTCTAACCCATATTCCATAAATTCAATATATTGCCCAATATGTGATTCAGATAACCTTCATAATTGGGCGCGTAGGTGCAAACACATCATAATTAGCAAAATGACTCGTATGAGACTATTCTGTCTCACACCCAGTTCTAGCCCTATCTCCCACTATCCCTGGTCGTTTAACTTAACATCTTCTATAGGCACTTTCTATCCTATTAGACTTTGTTTAATTGAACAACAAGTCTCTTCAGCATAAAAGTGACTGCATGAGCGCCCCATTTTATTGTAGCCTGATCTAGAGGGTAAACCACCTTTATCGCTTAAAGTGGGCATAACTGAATAAATTGTCGTGGTTTCCTTGAAAACCGTTCTTATTCACATATCGTTTTAGACAAAAGGCCCTAACATTATTGGGGATTAATTAAAAGATATTCTCCCTAACTTTGGATCGCATTTCCGACCTCGTTTAGGTCTCATCGCCGCCTCAGTGAGACGCGAACGCAGATTACTTTAGTGAAGTTTATAGTCCTAACACTACGCTACTCAGAGACACTAAGGCAAAATTAGGACACGAGATAAAGTCTCTTATTCCTTATTTCCTCTTAAATATCTCCCATTTAAATATATCCTTCTTGTCACTCCATCAAGCTATCGTATATTTTTTGTGTGTCTATATTACCAATTTAATGATGGAACTGCAGCTCAACCCAAATAGAAACATCTTTCAAGAGGCAATTCTGGGTAAATAAAATTCTTCTTATAAGATCTAGTCGTATAATTGTAGGAAAAATCACTATTCCTTTTTCATACCCCAAACAAGCAAGAGGTTTTGATTATGATAATTGTTTGAGACATTTCGTAATACAACTAATCGTTGCTTATTTAGTACCAAGGCTTGAATTACTCAGAAGAATGAATTTTTTATATAATGATGTCAAAATATGATACGACAGACTCAAGCTCAACAAATATTAAACAGGAGCGAGTGAGACTGACCTACTAAAATGAAAACAGGAGGACCATATTAAAAGTCGAGAATAGTTGGAAGGAAGAATAAGCCAACAGACAAATAGAAGATTATCATGGGGAGGAAGATAACGTACCTAATCAAACTGGAAAAAAATTAGGTATGATAACTGATTAAATCATTTATACATTTATTAATTTAATTATTAATTTATTAATTTATTAATCCAAAATTACACTATTAATGTATCCATTGATTCATTTTTTTATTTATTCTATTAATCATTCATTAATTTATTGATTCATTGGCTCATTCATTTATTCGTTTTTTTATTCATTTATTCATTCCTTCATTTCTTCGTTTCTTCTTTTTTTTCATTTATTCATTTATTCATTTTTATTGATTTAATTATTGATGTATTCTGTTTTCATTTTGCATGCATTCATTTTTCCATTCTTGGTTGGTTTATATATTACTTCTTTATTTCATTTATTTATTTGTTCGTTTATGCATGTATGCATTTATGCATTTATTCATTTATTGATAAATTACTAACGTTTTATTCATTAACATAGTTTAACTTTTATTCTACTATTCTACTTACAAGTAATCTCGGAAACAGCTTTCTGGTTTTCTGATTCCTTTGCATCGGCACTACACCTAGTCCATTTCGAGTTTATTTTAACCCCAGCTCCGAGCTTTACCGCCTTTGCCGCAGAGGTTCTCTGTTCTTCTCTTGTCGTAAATCCTTCATCGTCGGAGGCTTGTGTGCGCCCAGCATTAGCCAGGATGTTTGGCATAGCTGATGGCAGAACATGTGCACTGCTTGTTTTCAGACTGCCTGTGACCCGCTCTGAGGGCTGGAAAGTCGAACTAGCCTTAGTCACTTGTACAGGAAGCCGATTGGCCAACTGGCCCCATTGCATCAACCGATATGGGAAGAAGGATGGGGAATTTTCTAGATAATGACGAATCGGTTAGGAGCTCAAAAAGCCCGAGAAGCTCTGGTTTCATCCATTATTGAAGCAATAATCACCTCATCACGTAGGGAAAATGTACTCGTTGCTAGGGCAGTAAAGAGCTCCATCACTCTAGGTCATTTAGGTTGATTAAATGATGGAACGATGACTTCTTGCGCAATGAGATGAGTAGGCCTCATAATGACATTGAATTCCGCTCTATTTAATGTCATGGTTGCGTAATGGAGTCGAATGGGATACATTAGCATCAATAGGCCTACTCTCGTTTTTTGTAAAATTCAACTATTATTCCATAAATCATCTCAAGTGACCTAGGGTAACTAAGTTCTATTCAATAATTACTGATAGTCTTTGATAGCTAACCAAATCTAAGGTTAAAGTAGCAAACATCAACTTTTGCATTATTTGTAAAACTATCAGTAATCCTTGAAAAAAAAATAGTTAACCTAGATTTCCTAAGCTGATTTAAGCAATAAAAGTTCAATAGAGGTTGTTC